CAATCAGTCAATAAACATTTATTGAACCAGTCACTATGCTTAAGCACTTGGAATACAAAAGAGGCAAAAAACAGTCCCTGCCCTCAAAGAACTCCCAATTTATTGGAAGCACAATTCACATCCTCCACTTTATAGGTGAAGAATCTGAGACTGAGGAAGACTAAGAGATTTATCCAACATCACATAGCTAACAAGTATCTGAAGCAGGATTTGAATATCAGTCTTCCTGATATCAGTACTCTAGCTACCATACCGTGCTGATCTCTTTCATTAAGGAGTGCAATGTTAGCACATGAATGCATCATATCAAGCAGAGAAATGATGGACAATGATGTGATCATGTCAATAAATACAGTAAAGGCTTTGGACAAAATTCTATTCACATTCATGACTTTTGGATACTTTGAAAGAACCGTTATTTAGACAACCTAAGATATTCCCTCCATCAAGGAAGATTACAATCCTCACACTCCTCTCTGCGCAATTTTTTTCCAGGTTTGGCCCCAAATCTTCCCCCAGTCTGTTTATCATCATGACCAAAATGCAGCATGTTTCTCTATCTAGATTTCACAATTAAAAGTTTGAAAAAACAAATGGTCCTGGGGGATTTTACTCTACTTAATATCAAGAACCCGCATAACTAACTGTGTGACCGGTGGGAGCTTTTAGATACTTAGTTGTCTTATCTCTAAAATGAAGGGGTTTAATTAGATCAACTCCATGAGCCCTTTGGCACTAATATTCTATGATTCCTAGCTGTGGAATAGTTTGGGGCAGATGGCCATGATGAAACCTCTGTATCAAGCAGATTAATCTAGCCTCATAGGGATCACAGCAGGTATATCCTGGAGGTGGGAAGACAAACCAAAGAGACCCTGGCAATAGTCTGGACAAGATATCCTAAGGACTTGTACAAGGGCGGTAGCAATGGAAGTGGGAAGGAGAGGACAGATATGAGACCTTATAGAGTCAGAATGCACAGGATTTAGAAACTCCTTAGATTGGGAGAGAGAGAGAGAGAGAGAGAGAGAGAGAGAGAGAGAGAGAGAGAGTCAATTGTCAATTCAAAGCCAGGTTTTAATTACCCATGTAAATGGGCAAATGGAAGTAAAATTGACAGAAAGAAGAGAAATGTGGATGGGAAGAACATTTTTCTTAAGTTATATTGATTTTGAAGTTCCGGTGTGACATCCAAGTGGAATATCCTAGAGTTTGTTGGAATTGTAGACCTGAAGAATAAGAGAAAAGCCAGGACTGAAGATTTTAGAGACATCTGCACAGAGGTTAGTTATTGTTGAAGCTATATTGTTGAAGATGACATTGCCAAGGGAAATGGGGGAGAAAAGAAGAAGGCTATAGGGAGAGTTTTGGCAAGGAACACTTAATATTTAATTCTCTCCAACACAATAACTTTTATGTATATCATTAAATATGTTCAATCAACAGCATTTCAAGTTTCATTTAGTTAAAAACACTAAAAAGTTTGCATAAACTCTGTCTGTAATTTGTTGCTCATGAATTCAGCTCCCAACTTTAAAACATTAGGAATAATAGTACTTTTCATCCACTTACATAGGTGTTAAGAACTGAATGTCTTTGGGTGCCATGAAGAAAAATACTGTCATTGCCTCAAAGTATTTATTTCTCAGCATTCACTTTGGTTTCCTCTTCTGTGATACTGTAAGAAATAAAATTTTAACTTCTCCTATTATCTACTCCTCTCATCCAATCTTACTTGCAAGCTGTAAGTAGCTACCTGAGGTTCATGGTACTCTTAAGGATTTGTATTCCTAAAACTATAGCTCACAAGCTCCCACCAGTGTATTTACTTTTAATAGTCAGCCAGATGACATAATTATTCTGGAGCAAACATGTATACTGAGGTAGCAAGATATGAACAGTAGAAATAAAACATACACATAAGTACCCTGGAAGAGAAGCATGCATGTGAGTTACCTCATATCTCTGGCACTGCAGAGTCTGGATGTCCTTGTCCCTTACCATGGTGTCCCTATGCTGCTCTGCTGGGATCCCTGGTCAATCCCCACTCCATTACACTAAAAGTCATGGTTTAGAGCAGTACAAATAATCTGAGAGAAATGGGCTGATGTCAGAGATGAATTATATTTACAGTCTCTTGCTGTTTTTCTTCTTTGGCCATATTGGCTTATTTTCAAGAAATGTTATCTTTTCCCTGATTCATACTCTTCTTCATGGCTCAATATAATGATAGGATAGAATTAAAATTGGCATATAGGTGATAGGAGTTTATTGGTAGGCAGTTCTGTTTAACATAGAAACTGTAATAGGCCACCGGACACACACACACACACACACACACGGGCAAATAGCTTCTTTAAATGTCAAGTCACATATACTGAAGAAGCCGTAGGCATGGTAAACATCCTCATAACTTCAGACCTGGAAGTATTTTAATACTTTCAATGTTTACTTAGAAAAGTAGTTAATTTTTAATAGAAATTTTGTGGAGTAAAATATAATTTTACAATTATTTATGCTTTTTTTCTTTTATGTTTAGCATTCCTAAAAGAGAGCAAAAAAAAAATTGAAGAAAAAGGATTTACAGAATAAAACTCTTTGAGCAGTAGCTGAATACGTATTTCTGGAAAACCTTCAGGGTGTTTAGTCTTCTAACTTTAAGAAATTTGAGCTGTCATTTTAAATCATGTATTTCCATTTTGGATAGATCAATTCTTTTCTCATGGTGGGTAGCTCTTTCAGATCATAACTTTCCCACTGACTTTGTAGACAGTCTTTGAGAGCTGCTGTGGCTTAAAACTTTGCCAGTCTATGGCTAATCTGGTAACAAATGTCCTCCCAATTTTTGAAATAAAACTTAAATTTTTAAAAAGACTCAATTCAACCACCATTCCCTACATAAATCTTTTCCTGACCTCCTCAGCTATTGGTGCCCTGAAACCACCCCACCACACACACACATTCACATACCACACCACTTGGCATGTATTTTGGTTCCTTTTCCTCTTTCTTTGAAAATGGTTTCTTTCTTTATGGAACTGGAGATATTTGACCTGAATAAGAGAAGATTGGGGGAAAGGGGTAGTGATTATAACTGTCTTCAAGTACTAGAAGGACCATCATGTGGAAAAATGCAAAGGGGCAGATTTCAGATTTCTTGGCGGGGGGAGATGAAATTCTATTGTGACAATTAAGACTATCTAAACACAAAATGGTAAGCAGTGGGTTTCCCTTCACTTGAGGTGTTTAAACAAAGGTTGAATGACCTCTTATCAGGGATATTATAGATAGGACTTTTGGTCATGTGTAGATTGAACTAGCTGGTCTCAAAAGTGACACAACTCTAAAATCCTGTTAATATGGAACATGGATAATCCTCCTGCTCACATATGAGTGTATAAAATTCAGTTATTCTAAATTCTTAATGACAAATCAGTCTAAGTCTAAGAATTGAGAGCAGATATTTTGATATCCTTAAAGAATTATCAAAATTTGACCTATTCGACTTATTTTGGTCAATGGAATTATTCTTCTTAGGCCTGAGTTCTCTCTCATCTCAAGTCCTCCTTTATTCTTGCCTTATGGCTAACTTTCCTAACTTTTTTAATCTATTTAATCCATGGCATACTCCCCTGTGTAACCTTTACTGTGGAAAGTATGACATCAAATTGAATTCATATCTACATGTGTGTGCCCATCATCAGGTCTTTGAAGAAAGGTACTACATCTTTTATAAAACTTGTTTCTATCCATGCACCTAGCACAAGCACACAGTATGTAATTAATGGATTTTTGTTAAAATTGAATTTAGATATAAAACTGTAAAATGAATTATTGATGGTTTTTGGAGTTTTGGGGGGTTTTTTTTGGTGAAGCAATTGAGGTTAAGTGACTTGCCTGGAGTCACACAGCTAGTAAGTGTTATGTTTCTGAGGCTGGATTTAAACTGAGGCCCTCCTGACTCCAGGACTGGTATTTGGTCCACTGCACCACCTAGCTGCCCCTTTTCATTTGTTTTTGTTTATTTGTTCCCACCCTACCCCCTTGGAGGGAACAGGGAAGTCACTTAAAAACTGGATGTATATTTTAGAGCAGCCTATGTCTGGGATGAACCCGTCAGTTATTTGAGGTTTCACTTGCATACAAAGAATGATCATTAATAGAACCTTAGTCGTTGAAGTATCATTAACAAAGACAGCTAGGTGCCATAGAGGATAGAGTGCTGGTCTCAAGAAGGGAAAGTAAGTTCAAATTTCTGTCTCCTACATTTCTTAGCTGTATGACCTTGGGTAAGTCTCTAAAACTCTCTAATTCTCATCTGTAAAGTAGAGACAACAGAACCCAGGGTTTTTGTAAGGATAAAGAGAGATTTTAAAAATGAAGTGCTTTGCAAACCTTTAAGCATTATGTAATTATCTCATTATTTTTCAAATAAACCGTTCAAATAATGGCACTGACACCAGCCTACCCCAACCTGTTCTCTGGTTATCCTTGATAGATTATTCAGTAGCTAAAAGATGAAATATCCTGAGTTGAAGGGAGGGAGAGCAAACCAACAAACATTTATTAAGTTCTTTCTATATGCGAGGCATTGTACCGGCATTGGAGTTATAAAGACAAAAATGAGACATCTGCTCAGAAAGGACTTATTTTCATCATCTATTTTCCTAAAGTCATATATTTAAAACTGGAAAAGACCAGGGAAAAAAGCTCATCTATTCCAATCTCTCTATTTTAATAGATGAAGAAACAGAAGCCCTGAGAGATTAAGTGACTAGCCAATAGCAAATGGCAACATCAGGCTTTCAAGTCAGGCCCCCTGACTCTAAATCCATTCCTCCCTTCATGACACCATTGATGCCTCCCAAAATTATTGCAATTTTTAGCATTAGCATTATGGAAATTTTAACACCCTCCAATAGCTTATCAAGCAGATTACTGGGGCTCAGGCTGGGTGAAGCAAGAACATAGGAGCTAACTCTTGTGTCTTTGAATTTCAGGAATAGTGGCTGTTCTCTTTTGTGGTGTCACACAAGCCCATTATACCTACAACAATCTGTCGTCAGATTCCAAAATGAGAACAAAACAGGTAAAGGAAAAGATTATGACTGTTTTTTACCTCTTTTCTTAGTGTGAGGATTGTATAGTGATACTGTCAGTAGACCTTGAAGGAATTTCATTAGAAGCAAGAAAGCTTAAGCCTTCATTATGGGTAGAATATTTATAGAGATCATTCCTAACCCTTCCCATTCTCCCTTCCCCAGACACCCCTGGCCAGGAAAACCATTAGCAATTCTCTTGGTAAGCAAAAAAAAAAAATAGTTATAATAGTCTCTCCCTCCTGAGAGACCTCAAATGTAGAATGTCAGTCTTAAAGATGAAAGACACAGAGTTGCTAATAATTCAGAGTCACTTACATCTAAAAGCATATAAAGCATATGAGGTTGGATAGTTATAAGAAAGAAAAAAAAAGAGAATGGGGAGGCTGTTGGGCTTTCAAGGGTGTGTTTTTTGCTTTGTCCTCCTTGAACATGCAAGTCCATACAATACCCATGACCTGTCGGTGGTCACAGAAGACAGAATGTAGTTTTCCTTATCTATTAGGTATTTCTTCCTCCTGTGATATAGAGTTCCTTGACAGCAGACAGAATATCACACCAAAACTTACTATAAAGAAGGATATCTCCCAAGCTATAGACCAGGATTTGACAATGGATCACAAAGGCTCACTTGTGGCATTGTGGGAAAAGCATTGGATTTGAAGACAGAAGACCTGGAGTCAAATTCTTTACTAGCTGTGCAAATGCAAATCACTTAACCTCTCTGGGCTTCAATTTCCCCATCTCTAAAATGAAGGGCTTGGACTAAGTGACCTTTAAGGACTGTCCCAGGTCTAAGTCTATGATGCAGTAAAATGTTCAAGCTAGTTACTATCGTCATTTCAAGGGCAGCAGAGAGAGTAGCTCAGACGGCAGCATGGTGCCCTTCCGATTTTGCATTACCTGACTTTCCTCTCTCGAGGACACCCTGGGGATATTATGTCTTCAATCAAATGAAAAGTAGCTCCTCTTCATAAAGTCCGAGGGCCTGTGGCAAATACCCTCTGGCTTCTGGTTTCATATACTCCGTGGGGGGACAATACATGCTAGCTGAGAATAAAAATCTGTAATAGGGTCCTTGTACTCATGGGAGCCAGTAATAAGATTACACTACTTGTGTTAATTTCCCTAAGACTTTGAAAAGCAAATGCCCTTTTCTGACATTGTTGAAATCTTTGAGCGTTTGCATTCTGGAAACTCCGGACCCTGTTTAGTGACTTGCACTTTTAAGTCTTGCTATGTAGACTGTTATGTTGAACTTCAAAGACAACTCATCTCAGGGCTAGACAGCAGCCATGCACCTTGGGGAGGCACAGCTGATATCAGTGCCCCCCCAACCTTCTGTTCTCTCTCTCTCTCTCTCTCTCTCTCTCTCTCTCTCTCTCTCTCTGAATACTTTGACAGAAGATATTTGCCCAGCTGCCAGCTTTCACTTTTACAGTGCTCTCCTTTAAGAGAGAATTTTCCAAATTCATTTTCTAATATAATTTACAGCTCCTGTTTCCTTCCTTCCTTCCTTTGTTCTTTCCTTATTTCCTTCATCTCATTTCTTCCTTTTCTCTCTTCTTTCTCACTCTCTCCCCCCTCCCTCATTCCTTCCTTCCTACCCTCCCTCTCTTATTCTTTCCTTTTTTTTTCCTTTTTTTCTCCTTTTTTTTGCCCTTACTGCATTTTCTTCCTTTCTTTCTTCTTTCCTTCCTCTATCTCTCCCACTCTTCCTTCTTCCCTTCCTTCTCTCATTTCTTCCTTTCCTTTCTTCTTTCTTACTCCCTTCTTTTTTCCCTTCCCTTTTTCTCTCTTCTTTATCCCTCCCTTATTCCTTTCTTTCTCTCTCCCTCCCTTAGTCTTTCCTTCCTTCTACTTTATTTCTTCCTTTTTGGCCCTTCCTGTATTTTTTCCTTTCCTTCTCTCCTTCCTTCCTTCCTCCTTTTCTTCCTTCTTTCCTCCTTCCTTCTACCATTCCTCCCTCCATCCCTTCCTTCTTTCCTTGTTTTTTTTTCTCTGTCTCAGTTATAGGACTCTCCTTTCCTTTTTGGTTCTCTTTCTCTTTAGCATACATAGCTATATTATATAAATAGGTGTTCTCTGCTGTAATACCTAGCACCTAGCCTTTGAAGTAATCAGTTTTATTCAGTTAGACTTTCAACAAGAGTTTATTAAATACTCCTAACATGATGCTAGGAGCAGCTACAGTGACATAGTAGATGGAGTGCTGTTCCTGGAGTTAGAAAGACATCTTCCTGAGTTCAAATCTGGCCTTAGACAAGTACTAGCTGTGTGACACTGAGCAAGTCACTTAGCCCTGTTTTCCTCAGTTTCTTCATCTGTAAAATGTGCTAGAGAAGGAAATGGCAAACCACTCTAGTATCTTTGCCAAGAAAATCCCAAATGAGGTCAAAAGAATCAGACACAACCAAAAAAGACTAAAACAAACACAACATGATGCTATTGAATACACAAAGATAAATACAACATAATCCTTCACCTCAAAGATTTTTGTGCTCTCTTCTATACAATTTACAGGCTCATTGCTGTCCATGTACAAATTCAGGGGAATCTAGCATTTGGTTTTATTTTAAATTAGAGTGGATGATGATCATTAAAATTCTAATATGAAAACTATATCACCAAAGTAATACATGCTAATAATAATGGTTTCATTTCATTCTAACACATTATATTAATTTCCATTTGATAAATGTCATACATAAGACATATGCCTAATGTAATTTCTTAGATAGTGGTAGAAAGATCCAGAATAGCCTAGTTTCTTGCATCATCTTTCCTGATGTAGATATGTTGACTGTGCTAATTTTCACAGCATTTTTTGCATTATAGCTTTCAGCATTACTCTTTAATTCCTAATTTTTTTAAAAAAAAGGCATGTACTATTTCAGGCATCGGTTCTGATGTTATAGTCTAATCTGGCCAACAATAACCACTTTCCCTGACTTCCAAGAAATGAGATCAAAGGTACCTCTTAAAAACTTAGAATTGGCTTGTTTTACCCTAATTACACTTCATTTGACACTCTTCTGCTTCCTTTGATTCAAAGTACCTTTAAAAGTATGGTATTAGAATGCCTGAATTTGTGAATGATTGCAAAGTGTTTAAATTTCTTCTTAGCTAAGCTGGAGGGTTTTTTTTTTCAGTGAAACTCATTAAATTGTATAAAGGACATTAAGTAGTTCAGCTAATAAGTGTTCTCTTTTAAATGCTAATGGGACCAGCACTCACACATCAAGACAAGAACACATTGTACTCTGTCTTCAGAAAGAATTATTATCTCTCACACCTTTCATCAAGAATTCTTTTTCTATGGCCAACTTGTGTCATGGTAGGGACCATGGATGACCATTATTCTTCTGTGGAAAATTTTTTTTTATCATATATCCATAGTTAAAGAGTGTTTTCTCAAAGAAGTTTGTGTTACAATTTAATCGCACATCAATAACATTTTGTTATCATACTACATATTTACTGTAATAGTATTTGCTAAGTGAACCACCTAGACATGGACTAGTACTAGAAATTATTGTTATTTTTAGTCATTTTCAGTAGTGTTTAACTCTTTGTGACCCCCTTTGGGGTTTTCTTGGCAAATATACTGGAGTAGTTTGCCATTCCCTTCTCCAGCTCACTGTGCAGATGAGGAAACTAAGGCAAACAGGGTTAAGTGACTTGCTTCAAATCCCACAGCTAGTAAGTGTCTGAGGCTGTATTTGAACTAGGAAGATGAGTCGTCCTGACTCCAGGCTCAGTGTTCTATCCACTGTACCACCTAGCTGCTCATGTGCTAGAAGTTATACAATTCAAATTCACGGTTTACTAAGTAGCTCCTATACGCAGGACATTGTACCAAGTGTAAGGAAAAGATATGATTTAAGAATGATCATATCTTTCCCCTCTCCTGCCCCCAACATCAGCGGATGCCTATAACCATTAGGTTAAATACCTGACATTCAACCCTTCACATTCTGGCTCGAGCCATACTTTTCAGGCTTATTTCACATTACTTCCATTTATGTACTTTGTGGTCCAGCCAACCTGGCCTTCTTGCTATCCCATGCATTGAACATCCCCATCCTATCTCCCACTTCCATGCATTTGTACAAGCTGTCCCCTGTATTTGGAATTCATTCCCTGCTGCCCTACCACCACCACCTCATATTCACTTCTTAGTAACACTGACTCACTTCAGAAGTGATGCAATAGAAAGAGTAATGAATCTGGAATTAGAGGACCTGGGTTCAAATTCCATCTCTAAAGTTTGCTGCCTGTATAACCTTAGGCAAGGAAGTTAACTCTCCTGGGAAACAGTTTCCGCATTAATATAATGAAGGGATTGAACGAGATAGTTGCTGACATCCCTTCTAGGTCAGTATGTATGATCCCATGATCCCCATCCTCTCCAGTTATTAGTGCTATGACTGTCCACAGAACACCATGCATTTATAGTTTAGTAGAACCTAAGCTACTTGACATTTTTATTTAGCCTTTGTAGAGTAAAGAAGTATCACAAAAGTTAGGAAGAAGTATGGATAGTGGGTGGAGCAATTTAATTTGGATGAATTGGAGTGATACATGCATGGAGCAGAATTTTGGGTATACAGCTAGATAGCGTAATGGTTAGAGTACCTGGCATGGAGTCAGGAAGACCTGAGTTCAAATTTGTCCTCAGATACCTTGGAAAAATCACTTAATCTCTGTTTGCCTCTATTTCTTCAACTGTAAAATAGAGATATTATTATCACCTATCTCCCATGCTTATTGTGAGGGTCAAATGAGATAAAATATGTAAAACATGGTGGCTTGCATATCTTAGGTACTACATAAATGCTAGCTATTATTATTATTTTACATTAGTAATTTTTCTTCCTGCTTCTTCAACCATGTTATCCCTTTCCTCCAAATTCTATTGGCTTTTAAGATTAAATTATCTACTATTGTTTTTTTAGTGGCATATCACTTAATTGGCAAAATGAGGTGG